TTTTCGAGGTTTAACGGCTTCCCCCAGCCACTTCAGCCGTGCGTGTGTTACTTCTACAGTACCAAAATGTTGGTCTATTGTCCCCCTGTCCAGGAGAGCGCTAGGCGGACCGTGCGCGCGAATCATGCTGGTAAAAATCATGTCTTATCAATAAAGCTTCACCCCGGGCGTTGCGGAAGGACACGAAATGTACGCCGCAGTTTCACGGCACCTCTCAAGACCGGTTGGGGTGGGTTGCCTGGCTATCAGGGGCAATAAACTTCAACAATATTTTTTTTAGAAAGCTAAAAACTTATAGAACGAGCTTTGTTAATATCCGATCACATCCGTAAGGCATTTCGAACGGGTTTCTTTGTCTGAAACACGTAAACCTTATTTTTGTCCCTAGAATCGATTCCGACCCGGGGCGGGGAGCGACGATACCTGCAACTTGACTTTCGGCCTGGACAGTCTAATGAGTGGGGGAAGGGGGGGGGGAATTAGATTTTCCGGGAATTAGTATCCTCCGATAAGCGGGTGAAGGGTATAACATTTTCCGGGGATTAATACCCACCGAGCTAAAACTTTCTTGGGACTTATACCCCCAGGTAGGTGATGTGTACCCCCTAGAGCCCATGGGAGTATAGATCCCCGAGAAGATGTATACCCCCCCGGTATGAACTTCCTGGGGAATTTGTACCTTAGGGGGTCGAGTGGGGGGTACTAATGTCCCAGGAGGTTAGTACCGGGGGGTACCAATGTCCCTGAGCATTTATACCAGGGGGATAATCGGCACAAATCCCCTGCGACACCGGCAAGGGATTGGGGAGAGGGGGGGGGGGCTTTAGGGAGACTGGCGCAGGGCGAGCGAGCCTCGACGAACTTGCAAAGTTAGCCAATGCAAAGCTCTCGAAGCGCCTGGTAGGTAGGCAACATCTCGCCTGCAGTGCACGCGAGTAATGCGGGATGGCCTACCCCGAGTACTGCGGGCGTCGAGCTCCTCCTGTAATCCAGCCGAACAACGAGTCTGTAGGGCTATTACATGGAACCTCTCCGCTCCGAAGGTCTGAATGGTGTGCTCTGATTGGTCACTCAGCTCAAAAATTAATCGCCGCCGAACGATGACCTATCAGAGCACAGCATACAGATCTGCCGACACTGAAAACTGCATAATAACGCATGTAGATTACTAGATGATAACGCGGTACAAATTTCAGCTCTTGTGAAATATTTTCTAAACGAGCTCTGAGATTTAATTTTAGAAAGCACCATCGGATTTCCCGCGAAATTTCAAATCAAACAAGCCTACATGTGATAGGGTTCGGAGTTCAAATAATAACACGGAATAAGACGTGTTCTTAGAGAACCTTTGTTCAGAAGCCTATCACATGTAGGCTCGCTTGATCGGAAATTTTACGGGAAATTCAATGGTGCTTTCAAAAATTAAATTTCAGGGCTCGTTTAGAAAATATAGACAAAAACTGAAATGTGCACCGCGTTATCATCTAGTGATCGGCATGCGTTTTCACGCAGTTTTCAGTGGAGAGACTCGCCACTTGGCGTGCCGCTTGGCGCTGGCGCGGCGGAGAGGTTTCGTGTAATAGCCCTACTGACGTGAGGGAAACGGGCGCGTGTAGTACTTTACGGACAATATATATCCAATAATAGGCCGGGTCGCGTTCGCCACACAGGTCAATCTGCGTCATAAGAATCAACAACGCGATCGCATGTGGCATCTCAAGGGCCGTCGTTGCTGCGGCGCTTTAAGGCGAGCAAAGGGGAGCGGTATCGATAAGGCTGATCAAGTGCAGCCGAGGCGCAGGTGCCATCCGGGGTGCGCCCGTCAAATACCCGTCCCAGTCCGCCGCAGGCCGCCGCCGCCCCAGTGCAGCCCGACAGTCCTCCTCAGCACCTCCACCATGGCGCGTCTCGTCCTCGCCGGTACGTACCACCAGCACCACCAGCACCATCACCACCACCACCAGCGAGACCTTGAGCGAGACCAGCCAGCACCAAGAGGGTGTGCTGTGCAGTGCAGGCGGCTTTAAGCAAGCCCGCTGTTGGTTCGGTGGTTGAGTCAAATTGTACTGCCCCCCATGACTGGTCGATAGATTGACGTTGTTTCGGCCCGAAACTTTGTAAACTTCTCTGTATCTCGTACCTGATGAGACAGAGTTGAACAACGGCCAGTGCCGCGCGGTCTGCGGAGACCTCACAGAGCTGCAGAAACAAAACCCAGTAGGACAAAAGTAAAAATATCGGGGTAAAGAAAATCAACGCGTTGCAGAAAGCAGTTCACCAGATCAAGTATGGTTTTCGTATCCCTCCATCAAATAATGTTGTAGCCGTCTATTTCATTCGCACTCGACAAGTAGCCACTCGTCTAGGTGAGGCGAGGGGGAGACCCGCGAGCAGAAAGGGCTGGCGGGTATTCCCCGAGCTGCTCTAGCGCCGAGCGGGTAGGCGACCCAATCAGCGCGCCGACTGCGCGGGAGTAAGGGGCTGAAGCAGCGCGACGTCGCGGCGTAGCTGTGGGTGTTTGAACATACGGCAACGATTCCACCCCCTTGTCAACAACGGCCTGCGTAGCTCGCGCGGTGGTCGTGGGTCGGTGCCGCGCGGTCCTCAGCCAAAAGTCAATCACTTTCGCGACAAACACTGATTGGAGCAATAGATACCGCGAGACCACTTCAGGCGCGCTCCTCTCAGAGATGGGCTGATGTCGCCCCGGTGCCAAAGACCAAAAGCATTTTGAAAACAATGCAATGTCCTCCCCATACTACCTGCTTTGACCCCCCACCCCCTCCTCGTTCTTCCACCTTGCACATCCTCTCGTGAACAGAATAGTACTTTTCGGCATTGAATGACAATTTTTGCAATAATTTCTTCGATTTTTCTGTTTGGCTTAGTGTGCCTGCTGGCCGTTTCCCTGAGCGCCGTGGCGGCTGCCCCTCAAGCTCCAGTTCAAGATGATCCCGCCGAACCCACCCCC